AATAACTACAGCAATAAAGCAAGTGGTCCACCACAGCCCAAATGTCTCTCGCTTCATCCCTTCCAAACTTGTCTCGCCCTCTAAAGTTGTTTCTTCAGGTGATGCCGAAATATGCGACGACAAACAGACAAACAGACAGATAAACGAACAAACAGACAACCAAACTTGTGGTTTATACATAGTAAGGATAGTTGGTGTTGCCAAATATTTTATAAAATTCCAAGAACAGCTTTCAAAAAAGCACAAAAAACAAACATGCTCAAGCAGACCGCAATGGGGGTACGTCGAAGACACGAAAGAGTACATCGTATCTGCTTATGTATTTTAAGTAGTCGTCTTTTATAGAAGACGTATGAAGCGAAGAAGTAGTGATTTTGTCTAAATGAGAACTGGATTGAGGGATCACGTTGAAGACGATTAAAATATCGACTATTTGTGATGTGGAAGAATATTAAAACTTGGAGCTTTTCCAGAACATGCGATTGTGCACATCTGAGGAACTCCGCTAAATTCCATAAGAAAGAGAGAATCCAGTCCAACATCACACTAGGAAAATGAAAGGAGTTGAGAAGACTAGTTATTATCTAAATGAACATTGGATGTACCCATATGATAAAACAAACTGATGAGCTCAGTGAATGAAAAGTAGACTGATTGATCTTGAGAGCAGACAATAATCAGCTTCAAGTGCTACTACCTCTACTTCTCAATACGAAAAATTTTTGAATCAAACGAAAGCAGCAATAGTAAACAGTTAATAACTCACAAGGAACAGTTCACCGAACCAAAAGGAACAAACGTTCTCATAAAACAAGCGTGAAGTAAGAATTAAAACTGCTCGAAGCTACTGCTAGTAAACGAATTGAAAAGGCTGTGAAAAAATCACGTCTGATGCATGTACGAACTCGCAGAAACAAAGAAAGAGCAGTAGTACGAAGTTTGACAGGTAGAAGGGAAAAATAAGGGGAAAAACGTGATTAATGAATGAATTCTTAAAACTACACTACTTATTACACAACGAAAAGTTGATTTACATCGTAACCTGTGAAACAATTCTCTAGTATGAGGATCTACGGAACTCATCAGTCTTTCAATCACTCGCTACATCGTTCACCATCTCTTCGGTGCTTCCGTTAACACCGCTAGGGGTGCTGTCCTCGGTCGGATCACACGAATAGTGCTTCCTAGAATATGATGAATTCTCAGAAGAATATCATGAAATCTTTTTGTTTCGAGCAGTGAAATAATGTCCAGGACGCCATCACGGAGGCGAATCTAGTTCATCGTGCGCAGCAGAAGCGAATACACGGCATGGCAAAACAGTCATGCACATGCTCGATAATGCATATGGCCCATATTCAGCAATATATAATAAAAACAATTATTAGAATAAGAGGTTTCACAAACAACGGCTTTCAAAGAAGGCAGTTAGAACGCAGAAAAATGATGTCTTCGGCGTCGAACTATCCCTTCTAGGATGCGCTACTGCGCGTGATTTCATCTCAGTTTTGATGACGTGGAAAGACGTATTTGGACCAACTAGGGAGGTAAGGAAGGTTGGGATGTGAAGCTCACCCATTGACGACCGCGTACCCCTCTTACGGAAAACTTCTACCTCAGCCACCCACCATTATATTTTGTTTGTGTTTGCCAATTTTCTCCTAATTTTTGACGGCTTCAAGCATAGACTGGTTGCAGTGGTCAGAAATCTGTTTACTTCTATACAGGTGCGAGGCGATAATAACTCTTAACAACCGCAACGACACTTCAAAAATGTAATATGAAATAAAAGATGTAATAAAAAATTGAGCGCCAAGTAATCAATATAGCCAGTTGACCATTCTAAACCACGCCAATCTCATGCTGCCCGCTCCCTCTCCATTGAGAATGTTGATGATTTTTTTCTTTTACTTCTCGGTGATCACAACAAGACAATGTGATAAAGAATCCTACAGTATCATAATGTAACATTAACACCTTATTGAACGACTCACCACTTTTCGTCATAGTATTTTTACTGAAAGTTAATCTAGATGAGAGCGCACCATGAAGAGAGGATGCTCGTAAGAAATGGGTTAGTAATTTTACGCTTCCACGCGAATGCGGTACCACTGGGCGGCGGTATTTCTCCCCAAATTCCCAGGGCAAGCGACGCAGTTCCGCAGCGATTACCCTACCCTTCCGCTGCAAATCCAAACCTTCTCTTTCCAAGCACGTGAGTACGCGCGATTGGGCGCTCGACGCTATTCTCGGGGAGAAGTACCTACACGTAGTATCACCTAATAATGCCTGTAGAAACCTTTACTAGCTTGAGCAAGTATCGTTCCAGATTTGGCGCTGAATAAAAGTGCGGTAGAGGCATCTGCACGGATTAATCAACAAAAAGGTTTTGAAGAAATAAGAGGAAGTTATCGAATTGCTGCCGCTGCCACCAAGGGAAAGGTTGTACAGAGCAATAATCTTCAATGATTAACGTAGGCTACCAACGAGTGCCATACGCTTGCATTAACCTACGCCGGCGATACCCTTCAGGGCTTCTCGTCGCCGCATCAAAGATGATTTTAGGCGAATCCTGGATAAATATATATTTTCTACCAACTTACAAAGATTAAAGCCAACGAAAGCGAACCACTTCGAACAGTACAAAGAGGCGGAACAAATNCAACCCTTCTCTACTCTTTGAGATCACTTTTGCACTATCTTACCGCTTTAACTAGACGGAAGTTATGTGTCTTAGCCCCAATTGAATTACCGGATTCGTGCTGCAGATAGGAACCCAAAAAAGAGGGTGGAATCTTTTGGCCGAGCAACGCGGAAATCCATCAAGAAATCGAACATTAACAAGAGGAATTTACCTGAAAATTGATCGCGTGGGAATACCACGTTGTTTGTAGAAAAGAAGGTAGGCATCATCAGACTGCACATTGCATGGAGATTGCTTCGTTACAATCGAGTCGTCAAACAGCCTCCAGTCTTGAACGAAAAACATTAATGTTCGAATCGATGCCTTTAAAAGAATCGGAATATGAACTATGTTCAAATTTGTTTTCGTTTTGTGTACTTTTCGAAGCTCTTTGCTCTTCACATTTATTGGTGAGCTTTCGGCATAATAATGCCTTCGTCAGACCTTAATTATTTACAATACACTGCTGCATACATCAGTCACTACCAGTTACAATACAAAACGCATTGAATCATACCAAGTCAACCGGAAATGTTGGGGGAAAAAAGGGGAATGGGCATGTCGGCGGGGAACTTCAACGGAAAATGGACGCCGCTCTTGTCCTGAAGCGACTAAGTGTTGTCACTCAACCAATCTCAGTAGGTCACGCACCTCCTCTTTCGCATTGATTTCCGGCTATATGCGGTATATTTCCCGTGCCTCCATGATTTTCCTTTGCACTGACCGTACCAACTATCTATGCAAACCCTCACACGAAGGATGGAGCGTTTTCTTTCTCATGTCTAAGTGTACGGTGCCTGGAAAAACTGCTGCGTGGATAGGCAGCGGGATTGGCCAACGCTCTTCTATGTTCATCCAGACGAATCTTTAGTGGTGTCGCGGTCTCCCCCGCGTACTTTCCTCCACATACCCCACATTGGTTCAAATAGACAGTGCCCTGAAGTTCACAGATTTTTCAGAAGTGCAGTATCGACAAGACTGTTCGCGGCACCGTCTTTCGTAGATTCGGGATGATGCTAGGAGATCCTTCAGTGTAGGGGGAGGTCGGAAAACAAGTCGAATGGGAAACTCGGAGTTCTTGACGACGCGGTTTACCTCACGTGCCATTTTGTCGTTGACAAAAGGCACAATGAGGCTCACACCATCAGCCGTCCTGTGCGGAACCCAGTTCCTTGTATTGCCTTCGAAGTATCCGTTGCTTTCGAGGACACTTTCAATTTTGGCATCAACTACTGAATCCCTTCTTTCCCAAGGAGAAGCTTGGGACGCGAGGGGAGTCCGGATTACTGTTTATCTACGAAGTTCCATTATAATTTAAGAACGCGGGAAATACATTCTGAAAAAAAATCTCTAGCTCCTCACAGGCCGGAAAAGAGTGAAGTTCCAAGAAGAAAGGTGGTAAACGATCCATTGGATCGTCGCTCATCATCATGCTACCAGCGAAATACATTGTATCTTGTCCAAAGGTTGCGTTATCGTATTTGCAAGAGGACTTTGGTTAATGCGGCATAACGTGAGTACCATCTAGGAACGTTTGTAACGAAAACTTTACGACGTGCCTTTTGATGCTATGTAAACATATGATTATCGACTGTGAAGGAGACAACCCTGTGAAAGGAGATCACAATGATCCTCTGCGGTACCAGCCTCGGAACCTTGCACAGCTGTACGCCTCCTCGGTTTGGTTATCTAATCGATTTAGCGGTATAACACAACGGATCGAATCGTAACTTTTTCGCAGAATTTTCGGCAATTTTTAATGTTCACCCACGACACCTATACATCCGTTTTTGAGTGGCCATGGCGACTTGGCATCCTTCCCTTGTGAGTTTAAAAATGCATAACGCCCTTCATGGAAGTTTAAGAACTCAGAAGAAGTGATTTCAGCCTCTGGCAGGAAGGGGGTCAAATCCCCAAAGTAGGTGTAAGGTCAAGAATTCATAACTCTTCAAAAACATTCTCACAACCTTGGCAGTTTGTGGACAAAACTTCAGTTCGTCCACAAATCGCCAACTTTGTGAGAATTCCGAAACGCGAACTGCGGCGAAATAACAGCAGTTAACAGAGCATCAAGTCTTCAAAAACAATTTATAATGCAAAAAACTGTCAGAAGTTACTGAAAAATTGAGGTAAAATCTTCGAAAGGAGCGGGGCATGCACAGAGTTGATCGGAGCTGAGATCGAACATCCACAATTTTGTTCAAAAACGCTCTTGATCCCAGAAAAAAGTGCTTAGAGGCCGATGAAGAAAGAATGGTCGAACCTTTATGGTGGACGGGAACAAGGTCGCAAATTCACAGCTCTATTCAAAGGCGTTCTAGAACCATAACTATTACGTTACGCACCATTCATTAAGTCATCGTCATTACTCACGATGTTCGAAGATTGAGCGCCTGTCTCTCTATCTGTCACGTATTCCCCTATTACTTGAGGAATCACATTCCCCTTTCTTATTTTAACATTATCAAGTTAAATTCAGCAGAGATTGAGATCACAACCACCTACCTACAATCGTCTCGGTAGAGTCGAATCCAGGTAAACGACCAATACTTACATAATGACCGAAATAGCTGCTTCCTGAGTGGCATACCACTCCAGTTAAATCGTACATCTGAAGGAATTACTTGTACGACATCTTCTTAGTGAAACTGGGGCACTAAACAGTATTATTTGTCGAACGTACGGTGTTCTGCTCCGACGGCGCTGTTTCAGCCAAAAATGGAGACATATCGAGACTTGTAACGGGATAGATGACCCTTCTTTCGTCTTTACTTCTACGATGCATTGCTTGGTAGGTTGCTGAATGGGAATTACTTTCTATAGCAGAGACCTAAGACTGTACTGGAATTCCCATTCATCACTGGTGTCAACCATGTCAACAACAAATAACCACCTGTATACACAAAACGCTTCAATTGTACGATGAGAATGGGTGGAAGTCTGAAGAGTTCCAACTTTTTTGTCGCTTCAACATGATCACGACATTTGTTGCAATACCACGACTCTTCAGGCTTTAGTCGTTCCGTTTCAGAAAACATACTCTGTGATGTAGAAATTAGTAGCGAAAGAAAGAGCTTTGTTTTCCTATAATTGTAAAGGAAGACGAACCAGCATATCTTGAAGAGTGGGGTCGCCGGTTATTCCAGAGGCAGACTTTCTCATCTGCTTGGCTATCTGATTAGTCCTCTCCTCATCGATTTGCTGAAAACAATGTAGAATTATAACCTTCTCATAGAGGGCTGTGTTATGCTGAAAAGTCAGCCTCAATGACAAAATTTGAGAAACTACGTCTTACATTAGAGCAAGACTTCGAAGAATGGTGTGAATAACGCAAGGAGATAATTTCACTTCGCTTCTCTTCGCGATCGGTTTGCGCATTCATCCGCCATACCAGGTATATTTTTCTTATACCCCACCCCATTCACTGTTTCACTAGCTCCTTCGTGTTTCTTTGGTGTAGCTCTTAGTGAAGTCAGTGATCTGTTCGGCTTATTATTATCAAATCGATCATCAACCTATCAAATAGATACCCCTCGATCGGTTTCTGTTCCAACTACAAAAAGGCGTTGCATTGAAACCAAGGCCAGAAAAGGAAGAGTTGACGAAGCCTAACTCTAAGAAATCGGACCTGAATGTTTAGCCATATGTGGGATAATACTTAGGGTAATTCTGTATACAGAGCAACAACTGGAGGCGATGCACAAGTTGGTCTATAATTTTGTTGAGGAAAATAGAAAACATAGGGCAGAAAATGCAAAGCTAGAAAGAGATATGAGAAATAATAAGTCCTTGGTCAAGGATTCGGTGGGGAAATGTTCACGGTGTTTCTTTCCTTTTTCACAAAATTTCTTTGAGAAGGATATGGAGAAGATCAGTTGTGACAGTAGGATTAGCCAAATTAAATGCTGCCTCAGCCATTGATAGGACCAGTCATGAATTTCAGTGTGTTTAACAGTGGTTTCAATCGTCATGATATGAGAGGGCACCCTGCAATTTCTATCGAATGGGCCGATCAATCAGTATTGATAGAGAACCACCTTAAGAAAGACTATCAGTATTGATAAAGTCCTACCTAGGGTGATTTTGCCGAAGTCCAAGTTTCGGTAATTGGCGGTCAAGCGTACCCCACGATTACTTTCATTCCATTTCAGAAGGGTGTATTTACGTCTATCCTTATCATTGAAGAGGACGAAAATTCGAGAAGCATGCGATAAAAAACTACCGTCTCTTACTAAGCCAACTCCGAACCAATGTCAAACTCTGATAGTGGCGCCCACGATGTCATGGTTCATTCTGTAAATGCATTTCCTAAAAACGACTAAAGCTTTTGCAGAGAAATCGTCTTTTTATAAGCGGAGCTTCAACTAATACTCGGACAGTAGTCATTGGTGCAGATGCGCTGGTAATTTTCGTATATAAGAGACCTATAACCTGATGTTACTGACGGAGACATAGCTTCACTCAAAAGCAAACTCAGTTCCGATAATCGTGGCAGTGGCATCACAGCATCATTCTTGACCGAGCGGATAGAGTTTGTAAACGAGGTGGAGGAGTTACGGTCATGGTCAAATATCCTCATCCGGCCAATATCGCATTTAGTGAGCTAGTAAAGGTTATTATGGAATTTCGGCATGTGATATCAGGTTTTCCTCTCTGAAGACTAAGTTCATAGCCTTTTGCAGGTCACCTACATGTAGCTCGAGAGGAAATGATGAACTTATCAACGTGGTCATCGATTTAAGTTCCTATGAAAAGCTTTGTGTTGTTGCCGGTAATCTCAATGCGCTTCAGATGGGTTCCGCCATTGCACGACAGGTGGATGTTAATGCGTATTAATCGCGTAACTTGCCCAGTTGACGTGGTTAAGTTTGAACGGTATTGTTTCCCACGCGTTTTAATTCATGTATTGACTTACCCCTACGCAATGACAGTTTAATAATCGCAAACATCGAAGGTTCCCTCCACTTGGTAGTTGCGACCACTCAGTGGTCAGTTCTCATTTGTCACCCTCTTTTTGTAAAGGTGAAGTTATTCGGACTAGGGATCGAATTTTGAAGCCGTGAGGAACTATTTGTAACAAGTAGACTGGTTTGACTCATCCAACAGTGTTGACAGTGTAAATGATTAGTATGAAATGTTTTTAGTCATACTGCATCGTGCTATGGATATGTTTGTTCCTCTTGAATTGATCAGTAGAAGGTCAGCACAAGCTACCCATGTATTTGAACTTGCTCGAGAAAGTCAGGTACGGGCTTCGGGTGAAGGCTATTCCTTCTCGAGCATTAATTGATTGGAATGCATGTCACGCTATCAGCAAAAGCAGACTCACAAGCTCAGCAAACATAGTGCGCACTTGGAGAAGATAAAGCTTTCTAAGAGAGGTGAAAAAGTCTACTCTCTGCCCCGATAGCAAAGGGTGGTAAGACAAAGCGGAGTTGCTTGCCAATCAAAGCTATTTTTTCTTCAGGAGCTCATGATTCTATTCCAAGTGTCGCTGATCCTAGAATTTAACAAGTGATTCGTCTCCATGGTTTGACATGAATACTATTTCGGATATCCTATGCAAGTGAACATCTGCGGCGATGCAAATGTGGGATTATATCTTGTCGTGGTGAAGAATTGTATCTATAAAATATGCGATTCTCTTGCATTCTGTTTAAACTAAGTCTCATGCGAGGCAAAGTTTCGAGCAAGTGGAAACATAGTCCTTCTACTCTTTGAAAAAGGTCTGGTCCTAGCCCAAATAGTTACAGGCCGATTGACCTGAGGTCCATTCTTGCAAGGACATTTGAACAGGTTGACTAGCAGCATTTTCTAAATCAGGTAGAAAAGCATGGGATCCCTTCTTCTACACATCATGGTTTCTGCTCAGGAGAGTAACTGAAACAGCTCTGTTGTGCTGTATGAATGAGTGGTCATAAAACTTAATCAAATAAGAATTTTAACGTGATTTTCGATTTAAGTAAGGCCTCTGACAAACGATCGCACAGAGTTCTAATACAGAGCTTAGAGTTCCAAGTTGAATAACTTAGGTTTTCCCCCATTAGTTGTTGACTGGATCCATGAATTCCTCAGCAACAGTCAGTTCCAGGCAATCGTTGGTGAAACTAGTCCTATCAATACCCTTTTCCGAGATTCGACATGAAATCACGTCGGCGAGGAATGGCACGGCGCCCGGCCCCGTTAGTATCGAATCGAAACGTCTCAAGAGCCTCCCGCCAGTCAATAAAGGGTTCAGTACAACCAATCACTTCGCATTGTTCCAAGACTCATTGAAGTATCGGGAAAAAATGGTGTCGTTACGCCCGACGTTCACCGATTTGAAGAAGGCATCGGATACTGCTCATACAGAACCGGTATTGAAACCTTGAACAACCATGGTGTTCTATACATAGATATATATAACTAAATCGACGCGTCTACACAACTTCCATGACATGTTCTGGTCTTACTGCATGAGCATGTTTTTTTGCGAATAGTGTGAATAAAAACGGCGTGTCGATGCTAATACCTGTGAATTTCATCCAATCCCCATATAATGAACTGATATCAAGAGGCGGACGCGTGTTTTTTGCAGTTATCACAATACCTACAGCGGAAAAGTAGAAGCTGGCTACGCCTTCCTTTGAACCTTGAAACAAAGGCCTAATGGCATTGTCTACAAAGTGTTCTTCAGACTGCGTTCATTCATAAGCTATTTTGAGCAGCAACATGAAAAACAACCCAGCGGTGAAAGAAAGCCGCTTTTCATTCCGTCGAAAGCTCTTCCGACAGAATGAAAATGGTCTCTCATCACCGTTGAGTTGTTGTTCGTACTGCTACTCAAACTTCCTAAAGAAAGAGGGCTGCAATCGAGCAGTGAGTGAATAATCACGTTGGGTCAAACATAAACGACTAATTGCGAAAAATCACATAAGACGTTTGACAAGGGACCTATAAACTTGACATCAACCTGGAGAACTACAGGTCACTGTTTCAGTTCGTCTAACGTTCACTTCATTTACATACATAGTTCCACGCTTTTCTCTGATATGGTTCTCAAAAAACACCATCATGACTCCAATCGGAGCGTTTGAAGGTGTGACACAAAATAAGCCGCAACCACTCAACCACCGATTTCTCTTTCAAAGGCTACTATTCAGAGTAACTCGCTCTGCAAAATAATTATAACAAAAGTCGAAGCACACTGTGAGCGGGTAAGGATCGCCACCACATGGCCCACACCGTGCGCACACTGCCATTTCGCTTTGTTACTTCTCGACACTCTTGACACTTCCCATCTCTTCGTTTCACGGATACATATATGGTTCCTCTGTTCCGATTTGAAAGCACCCATGGCCCAGTCAACAAAGGGTGCAATGTAGCTACAGACCGAAAATTGTTGGGCAATAGCGCAAAACCGAGTGGCAGCGTTGTACATGTTACTCACGACTTTGCATAGCGCTGTGGTATGAACTCCACTCACCAATGTTCTTCTGTTCTCGACACTCATGAAAGGACGCCCATTGCGAAGGTTATACCAGTTGATTGAAAGATATGTGCCAGATGGTATATCGAGAGGTTGACCTTAATTAATATCAAATCATTTCTGCGAGGTATAAACTGAAATATGTTTCTGACGGGCTGAAGGGTGTGGAATGTCCCAAACCTGTCTTATCATCGACTATGGTATCACCGAGCACATGCATTTGGTCCACCAACTTGCGAACAAGAAACATTTTGAATTCAGATTTCTTGCGTGGTTCTGGCATGACACATTGTCTGCGCGGTGTTTGAGAAGAGGTAGTTGAAGGTGCTGGTGAACTCTAAAAATGTCCATTGCACGTAAATACGACAGGTCAAGCATGTGAAGAAGACCGACCGAGGCAGATGCTCGATGAAGTGCAGGAGGAGCACCGGCAACCTTAATACCACCATGAGTTGATGAGCTCATGGTAAATGTAAAATAATTTGGAAGGCTAGATAATATACCTTCTTCTCTTCCTGAAGAAGCGCTTCTTTTCCCTCCATCCCTTCACGAGTCGAAGTTTCATTTTCCTCGTTAGACGATGACATTTGCGGTGGTTGAAAGATGTCCACAGAAAACCTTCAAGCAACAGTATCGCGAAAACATTGTTTAAAGCGCATAAGAAAGCTCTAATGAATAGATAAACCAAAGAATTCTGACCAGTTATAAGATAATGTTCCTATCCCCGGAAAATTGGCTGAGAGAAATCAGCTTATGTAGGCGGTTTGAGAAAGTACACAGCTAAAACAGACCTGCATCGCGCCTCCAACACACGAATAAGGTGGTGGTATGTCAGTTGACTTTGCGGTAGAGAAACCATGAACGGCTGACCAACATAGTCCGCTGTTGTTCTTCTACGGCACTCATCCCGATGTCCACCCGTATTCCAATTTGCCAGTTGACATTCTCTGTAAAGGATCACGGATATGAAAAAAAATCCATAATATAAACTGCCTGCTTTTGTGCGCGAGTAGGTCTCTGTTGATAAGAATGTTTCAGGAATCTTCTTCAACTGTGACACATGAGCTAATCATTAATTCAAAAATTTTAAGGCGGAAATGTATCAGCGCACATGAATGAAACAAAATATGGTTGCCATCCCACTGTTGACCGCCTCCAAATATATATTGAACAAAAAAACAGCCCGCCTTCAGATATAACTTAAACAAAAAATGAGCAAGAAAGCTCTCGCTCTGGAAGTATAGAACGTTTCCCAAAGGAACAAATCATGTACAAGACCTGTTAACTTTTGATCATTCACTAAAAAAGCAGAAAAATTGGCGTAATCCTGGAAGCGAGCCTGTCGTGGCTAACCTAATCGTGTCGCTCATGTTGCGGGAGACCGATCATCAAATGGCACTGCGATCATGATCAGTATCCATGAAGTTTCAAGGAAGCAGCTCACTGCTACAGAGCTGGACTCTTTGCACGAAGCTACTAAGAGTTTTAAACAAGTGCTCAAACACTGGCTTCGTCACTACCCACGAAAACAAGTGTTGTGAACGATGTTCAACTTAACACTCACAACTTTGAATGAAACTGAAATGAGCTCACTTCTAAAAGCTCTTTTCATCCTTTTTCTCCTTTCCACGTCACCCTATACATACTACCTTCGATTTCTACCCCTATTCTAGTGCACGCTGTAGCATTTAGGTCTTTAAGACGGCGATCTGCACCTATTTAGAGGCACAGTTCACGATAATTCTGGGTAATCCAGATTATGAGAAAATGGAGGATAAAGTGGGAAATAGTGCGATGAATGCGAAAAAAGTGCGCGAATCAGGGGATATAGGCTTCAAAAAATCGGTAAAAAGGGGACTGGAAGAGAATGAGATATGAAAAATGGAGGGGTGTTCGGACGAGCCATACAACGTATGTCATTGCGTACGTGTGAGTGGTCCTGATGCGAATAGCTGACTGCAGTAAGCAAAATTGCCCTTCAAAATTCATTCACTCGTAAGCATAAATCTAAAAGAACACTAGTAACGGCAAAAAATGCCCATCTATTTCAGCCTCTTGAGATAGAAAATTGGATCAAGGATCGCAGCAGCAAAACGAGTAACAAATAACAATAGAAAAGGGGAAAAACATCGCCTCACTACTCGGCGATCAGCTGATTGCGTGCTGATCGTGTCGGTATTGGCGCGAATATTGCAATCTGTATCGCCTAGACTCTCGTCTCCCACATCATCGGTCGATGCGCGTGGCATCCGGGCGGTACGGTAGTGGGGCCCCCACTATGCCCTAGTTATTATTTTTCGACAGCGTCCTTCCTGTCACCTTAGGATCCACTGCTTGTTCCTTGGGGGAGAACTCAGAAACCATTGTTATCGTGAACTGAGCCTTTAACGATAATATTCTGCTACCAAGGAATAATGAACTCAATTAAACGGATATTTGCACGGTGACGCCACACTAATGGTTGACATCGTGACGTCTCTGCGATTGATTCGATTCTTCCCTAACCTCGACCTTTAGAAAATGAACGATTATCTGGATAAATAATAGAGCAAAAACACTAGGCCTTTTACATTTTTTCTCGTGACTAACCATACTATTGAATGTATTCGACCATTCGAAATTAAAATGCTCACTTGTTGCAATAATAGGCGTTATAGCAAGCTTCGCATGCCTTCAATCGTCCAGTAGTTCTACCGCATTCATTACAAGCATAGCGAAGCGTCGACGAATACAGCTGTCGTTGCACAACTAGTAATTCAACTACCGGCTCGTTGCAATCATTTTGATCGTAAACTTGGAATCTGCACGTTTGAAAAAAGAAAAGATGCGTTTGACATAGTTAACAAAAAAAAACTTCATAAAATGACACTCACGCATACAGCACGTCCCCGCCACATATGTCGTTAGCCGGGCTTGTTGGCGTAAATACTTTTTGTATGCGATGACTGAACACTTCAACGAGACGAAGCTTAACAAAGATTATTGCTAGAAATCAGGATCAACCATATCCGTCTGATCACATACCACTTTGGATGGAACATGAACCAAATCAGAAAGAGCATTCAGAAGGTCAAGGACAGTTCCTTCAGGAGAGTACTGGACAGTCACCTAGGTAAAATTGCTATTTAAGTTTATCATTAACAGAGACAAATAACATAAAAGGATTCGAAAAGAGCGGAAATTATTCCCGAAAAGATTATATACCTCAATCGGCTTGAGTAGAGGGTCAAGCGGCCAAAACCACACCGTTGACGACTTTTTGACTTTTGGAAACGGAACAGGAAGATATACGAATGGATCGAATGTGATGGATACCTATATTATGTTCGATGCCAAAAATAATGCTAGGCACAGAAGTACGAAAAAATAGAAGAGAACATATACCCGATCACACTTTGGACATTGCAGTCGTGATTTCAGCTGTCCATGGAAGAGATCGACAAATATAGAATCGTTTCTCAGTGTGTGGTTGAACCATGCTTCAGTTGATACCTGAAATACAAGAGCAGCTCATGATTTGTAACGGAAAGAAAATGATATCAGCGATCTTCATTCATGTAAAATTCATCCTCTTCACAACCACTGTGCAGTCTATTTCTGCTCTTTACAAATAAGGGAGAAAGAAAGTTACCACTAGGCCGATTCTGTGGTGAGCAAATACAGGTTCACTCTTAGTATTGTTATTCATAACTTGCTGCGTCTTTTGAATACAAGTATCCATTGTATTTCTTACAATAGAAACCTGGGATGATTTCTTTTTTGTTCGAGCGATTTCAACTTAATATAGCTGTCTTCTACGGATCTTTTCACCGTTTTAGGAGTATAAGTACACTCCACATACTAAAAAACTCTATTGAAAAAAAAAACCAAGAATTTAGCAAGCGTAAAAAGGTTTTGTCTAGAAGACGTTTTATGAAAAACTAAAAGGAGCATATGCAACAAGGATTTGAACCTTGATGCCATGCCTATGAGCCCACTTCCATACCAACTGCGCCACCTTTGCGCAGCGCAACCAGCAGTTTGGTTATTTGTCCACTGCAGTGGCATAACACAGGGACAAATCATCTCAAAACTCTGTTACCAGGTTCGTTTCGTCTGAGATCGGCATTTGAAAACATCTAGGCCAGTATACATCTTCTCTTGAATTGCCACTGCAACCTAGTATTCCCAACAACTAGAGTCCTTCCCTTGATTTATACTCGCTAGTTAAAGGCACTGTTCACATAATTTCGGGTAATCCAGATTATGATGAAAAATGGAAGACAAGATCGAAACTAGTGCGACTGAGGTGAAGAAACTGCGTGCATCGGTGTTTCCACAGTGAAAAAAGGCTTCGAAAAAACGTTAAAAAGGGGGCTGGACGTGAATGAAACCAGAAAAATGAAGAAGGGTGGGGCGCCCGGACGAGCTAAATAGTGTGTTTCACTGCGCGCGTATGGGTCCTGGTGCGAAGAACAGACATGTTAGTAAAAATGCATTCACTTATAAGCATAAATAAACAAAAGAAACTTTAGTAACAGCAAAAGTAGCTCACCTTTTTCAGCCTCTAGGAGTAGGAAATTGAATGAAGGATTGCGGCAGCAAAAAGAAAAACAGAGGAAAAAAGAATGGGAGAAAAGCGTCGCCTCATCACTCGGCGATTAGCTGATTGTGCGTGGGTCATAGAACGAATAATAGCAACTTGTATAGTCTCGACACTCGTCTAACGTGATACCGATCGAGGGGCGGGCACGCGAACTACGGCAACAACGGAGCTGCCACTATGCCCTGGACGTCGAGATTGGGGGAAGAGGGTCCCTTCTACAACCCATGGGGGCCGCTGAGTATTATTAAGTTAAGAACTCAATAACTTTTTTTATCGTGAACAGTGCCTTTAATAAGCAGATCAATCACACACGTAATCGCACATATCGCATCTATTGGCGTAGGTGAGGGATTAGCCATCAACGCAATGAAGAGTAAGCAGTTCGAAAACTCGTTTGAGAAGGGCGTAGTGCTCTTCCGTTCAATCGTTCATTACAGCACAACTGTATCGTGATTCAGTATTACAATCTAATCTGTGCACATATTTCCCTAACTCACCGCTGCTGCAAAAATTTTACGCATTGTCTCTTCACTAACACTCACCACCCTCTTCACAATTAGGAAGTCTCCCTATTTGCAGACAATGACCACCGTCTTCAAATCAAATCCAAGCTGTATGAATTTTCTAATTGAGAAGACAGACTTGCATCGGACTTCGTACCTCCTCTTTGTCATTAACACAACACTAATAATTTGATTAGAATCCTAGCAATCCTACAACGTACGTCAATATCCGATCGTCCGTCCCCCTCTACAGTGGTGGTCATAGGTTTCGACTTCACCCTGTTGAGGTCTTCGTGAAGACCATCAAGAAGAAATGAAAGAAATTCATGGGCATCGTGCTGTGCAAAGTTGGCAAACTGTGACGCTTTCTCGGCGACCAACTCCTGGAAACACAGAACCGTTCGGGTACTAATCAACAATACACCCAAGCTCTACGTAACCACGGTTTGAAGCTTGCCTTTATTTTAGCCGGTTCAATGGCTCGATGCTGTCGATTCCACATGAGGCGCATAAACTCTGCAAAAGCGTCCGCAAGTCTTCCCTGAATGCGTTTTCTTTTGATGGATGAAGCTAGAGAAGACTATAAACTCGGAACAATGGCAACGTACTCTAAATCCGAGCGGATTATTAGGATTCACATCCAACTTATAGTGTCGATCCAAGAAATAGGTCTTCAATTCAATGTTGTTAACAAGCATTTGCAGAGTAGCATTCATAAAGCATGTGTTCCCAATGTTACGCAAACCAGTGAATCCGCTTTGTACGGCTGGCAGTGCCCGATCTTCGAAAGGTTGGACCTGAACGGCACGATTAAGCATAAACTGCTTCGAAACAACGAAGTTACAGCTTTTTAAGTGCAGAATATCTTGAACGGGAAGTCAAACAATTAAATTGTTCCAAAAGGAAAGCCGTATTTGCTACGGCTAAATGCTCCGCAGAAAATATTACGTCCTCCAAAGAATTTTTCCCCTAGGCTGGTGATCTGTGACAATTAATGCATTTTGAAACAAGAATGACCCCGAGTGATCACAAAACTTTGGAATTTGAAAAAGGATGGTTAAATACAAATGAAAATATTAAATGAATAGGAGGACGATTTGGTTGGCAGTTAGCAATAAAAGCGTCAGCTCACCATAGCAAAAATTTAACGCAAATACAGATTAAACTTATGAAAAAGTCAAGAACCTTTGCGGTCACACTCGCAGAAATCAAGAGTCACACATAACTTTCGAGGTGTGATTTAGCGTGCATTTTCATTACACTTAATTATCGCTTTGCATTACAAGAGGGATCTGCTATAGCCACAGGGTCAAATGTACTGTTTAAGATCGTATCTCAGGAAAAGGCGCCCATCTTCACTGAACTCCCTAGCCAAAACGGAAAAACGTTAACCACATTCATTTCGTACGAAATTTCATTTTCATAATACGTAATTTTATAATAATAATAATAATAATAATAATAATAATAATAATAATAATAATACGTAATTTTTCATGACAACCCGAAGCCTTCAGTATGAGAAGGGATTAATAACATCAAGGATTAGGTCGCGCATATCCAGTTGGTTTACAAAAGACATATATTGGAATTCAAAAAAAAACCATCGCTAAGTGAATTTCTATTAGACGATGCAAGCTAAACCAACTACCCTGAGGATCCCAAAGCGTTAGACTTTAATGTGAAAGATCGCCTCATCAATCCTCTTACATAGCCAAATGGTTCCATTTTTCGAAATACTGAGATAAATCACTTGCGAATCCCCATTTTTATTTGTCATTATCGTAAGCAACAGGGAATAAGGTTGCTGCTTCCTTGATTAGCTGGATGATTCTAATCAACCAAGCGTTTGTTTTTGCGAAAAAATTGTTGGCGCTGCTGCGAATAATTAGAACAAAGAGCGAATTTGGATATAAACGCTCACTGACCACCTCATTTTTCTTTTAATTAACTTTGCCAACTATATAGGATCTATTAATTGTGGCAAAAGTAAAAAAAAAACTTCAATCGAACGATAAAAATATGAAAGTAGTATGAACCGTTGCTGTAGGTTTGTATCCACTGTACGATGGTGTGTATCTTGGAGGGTCAACTGGAATCGGAGGCGGCATTCCTCGGCTGACGGCATTGCTTGGGGAGAATTCGGATCGAGTCATATTCGCCGCAGTTCCAAGTTCTGATCGCGTAGCAACCGCCTTGGCGAACTGAGCATAACCGGGCGAGATTGCGTCCATCGCAGCTGCACCAGTTCGACCTGAACGTAAAGACACTTCACTGCAAGCGTGTTATAAAAGCAGAACACACATTGAAAGAGGGCTTCTCACAACTATGTTTTGAAGTTTTATTGCACGCTCATTCTATTCTTGAATTAGCGTAGTTTACATGTCACAAAAACAAAGCCAACTTCTACCAATAAAAAAGCAGGTTCGAATTTTGAAGCTAGGATAAACAAACATACTAACTCACGAAAACAATGGATACAGATAAGTTGGCAATGTTGGCGATTTTTTCGAAAAATCACGGGGGATAAACGACATTTTGTGAATGCAATCACGCTGGAGCAAATGACTTATTTCTTTCGCACCCTTATATTTCATTCTGAAGTCCATCACTGGTGACTCTTCCATTTCCGCGCGCATGCGTTCGCGTTCTTCCCATTCCTTGTACTCTCGGCATTTTTCATCTCGTTCAGCTCTTTCACGTGCTTGTTGATTCAGTTGGGCCACGTTCACGCTGCTGTAAACGAGTAAACAATATTTAACTGATTACTGCTTTCTCATGAGTACCTAGATATGTGGCATTTTCACGTCTGATTATTTCAAATGAATATACATTCAATATTCAAATGAATATATATTTATGCATAATTGCTCAACTTACTATTTATCCACACCGAGGCTAGAGAGGCATAATCCCACTACTCTTGGCCAAGACAATCAGTAACCAGAAGAAACTAGGGGAATTTAACATGGCCGCAATACCTCTCATTGAGTACTAGAATTACTTAGGGGCTTTTTAATAGAAACGGTGGATATAGGAGGGCAGAAATTCGAACAGAAGATACTGAACAGTTTAGACCGTGCTTATCGGAGAAAAGCCGAGTGATTGAAATTGCAGCAACCATTACTACTGCTAGCAGAGACATGCCCCATTTTCTTTCTGACAAAAGTTTGCTCTGCTGTAAGACCCGTATTTAGACAAAATCCTCGATCCGTTTTCTGTCTAAATCTTCCAATAGAGAGAATAAAGGCTGCTTAACAAACGTCGAAACCCCTACTGTTGTTTCGACGTACGTTAATGCAGAAGGCGAAATTTACGAGGCAGTGAACAGATCGGAGCCGAATGTTGTCCGGATACGTCATATTTCACCTTAGCACCTAGTTTCCTCGATACAGAAAAGTAGATCGTTGACTGAACATGCTCTGATTCCTTTTAAAACACGGATATTAAATGTGGGGGAGAAACCAGCAACGTGGAAGTGATGGCAAATCCATCCTTAAAGAGTGGTACAATTTCGCATCAGTACCACTTGAGTTCTGTCATCGGCACAAGAACCAACAAGGCGCTACATTCTAGTAATTGTGCATGAATGATAGATGATGATGATCAATATCCTCAACCAGGTCCTGAGGACATGAAATGAAGTGAATGAGTACTAAATCACCGTCTACAGATGAAAGGACCAATTTAGTGTCATAATATAAGACGACATCAAAGTCTAATGCGATTTTGAAAACCAATTAAATATAGGCAAAATAATGGAAGAATCAGTATCCCTCACAATCAGTGCTTAAAAAAAATTAAATGAGATTGCCACCACATGAGCGCGATGAAAGGTTACTCACCGATAACTTGCGATTGCCGAAGATGATCTGCTGCGCACAGCGTTGGGCGGAGAACTATTCGATGGAGCAGTTTGAACGCCAACCGTAGCCCCAGGTTGCGGCGCCGCGTTTGCAATTGCTGACAGAGTATAGCTGGACGGACTATGACCCATAGAAGTGCCGTAAGATCGCGCGCCTGAAAAAAAAGGTGGAATTCATGGATACACCGAAAATTATCGTACGTTGTTGCCATTCTATGTAGTTCTATACAACATGTTCAACTATATTAACATGCAGATCAAATGTGAATAAAAAACAAAAACAGCCACAAGGAAGGCATTACCGTATTGCGGAGGTCGCCTAGCGTTCGTAGACTTTACTATAACATATTTTGATCACAAAAGCCACTTGAGCTACCCTAGCAAAAAAAAAANCCCTAGCAAAAAAAAAAACACAACTGTATCCTATAACTCACCAAGGGTGGAACCAAGGGTTGTTGTACCTGCTCCAGCCGCGAACGTGGAAGGAGAGAAAGCCGAGCTGCGTGATGCCGCAGGTCTTGAACAAACGCTATATGCAGAGTGACTCTCACTGTTAGTCAATCATTAGTCAATCATCAAATCACTAACGTAGTGTACGGCGAACGCTGGTATCCAGGTGATACTGATGACGATCTTGTCAATGCTGTACCATTCGCTGCAGTTGTCGTACTTGCACGTGTCAGCGTCATGCTTCCTCAAAAAAAATGCATGAAACTGGTGGAAAGGAGGTTGTTAAACGCGCAATCAATGACGATGAAGCGACTATAATTCAAAGACAAGTTTGAGGATTCAGTTTTTCCGAACTAGTTTTTACCACTCAAGCTCGTAGCACTCACTCCGACCAAAGCTTTATTCCACTAACCATATCCCTTTCCCACTTTACAGGCAAAACGCAAGAAAAAGCAGTGAGGGAATTTATCGAAGATTGTAGCGAAAAAAAATGTTTTTGATAAGCAAACAGCTGACTTTTCGGCAGAACGGAAAGGTTAAATTTTTTACCAAACCAAACGTTTTTTTTTCACGAAGAAAATGTTGCAAATTGCAAGAAAGCCAAGCTGAACTTGAATCTCTCTTTTTGTCTTCCTTCTATATTCTCTTGAGGCATTTCATTCTTCTTGAACAATTAACGAGAAAACTAATCATCGAAGCCGTGGCATGAATTCGTTTGAACAGCTGCATGTCTGCAGCTGCAGCAGATTATTGTAACATCAGATCGAGAGGCCATCATTAAAACTTACCTCTATTCGCATCCGGAGAAGACCCAGACGACGTTGGAGGAGGAGGAGGGCGCGTAGACGGTGTGTACGAAGAGGCCGAATATCGATAAGAGCTCAGACTGTGAATAAAGACATGCGTACGCACAAAAGAGAAAATTGCGATGTGAAAATCCCAAACACTCACCTCGAGCCATAGTTACGTGGCGTTGTGTAATTACCAGCTCGAATCGACGTTGTTGAGCTGCTTAAACGGCCCCATTGACCGCCTTCTTGCTTACGCATCACAAACTCTCGCCCTCCCGAAGTGACCTAAACATTTCCTTCCTCTACCAAACACAGTCTCGGAATTACAACGACAAGGAACTCCATAATAAAAAGCAACATATCGCGAGCTCCCGAACACGAAATGCGAAATTCAATTGTAAATTAGGATAGAAAGGATATTAGGGAAAAAAATGCTGCATACTGCAGGAATGTTAAAAACTTCGAATCCTTTTCTTTTCGATGCAAGCCAGTCACTAAGCATAAATGATAAAGCATTTGCTCCGTAAACCAAAAGTTACCTTGAATTAATCGAGATGGACGCGAGGAAAAGAAATGATAGGATAAACAACCCACACGAATACGTGGCAAAAGCATCTCGTACCTACCTCTAAGGAATCCGTTTCTACAGTACCTGCAAGCTGAACACGCCATGCAAAAGTCGTGCCTTGAACCTCACCGTATCTGCTTAGAAGTCTGTCGTCCGGATCACTAAACGAAAACATTTCTCAATGTTCTCGTTTTTTCCATCACAAGACTTACAAATAGTTAATGAAAACTTTCACTGCGTTAGTATTGTGAGAACTCACACCGTTACATGATAATTATCAACAATTGAACAGCGAAAAGAAAAAGAAGTTCAGGATGCATTTATATGATCTCTTATCCCTGAACAGCTTATATTCACTCACAACTTAACATCATCCAAATAAACATTTGAAATATAATAATGCTCATACTTCTCCGCCTCATGAAGTGCAAGGCGTAAGACGATTCCTCTAGGTGGTGAAAGTTTTGAAAAAGAATTTCAGAAATTCTGAGAATCACGTCTCTTATCAAGCACCACATGTTGTTTTCGAAAAAGCATGCTGCCAAGAAGTGAAATGTCCGAGTGCAAAAATAAATCAGCATTCTAACGAACTAGCTAGAATTAATGAATCCGACTGAAGGGGAATGTACCCGAAGGTTCAGTAGAGAAAATGAGGAACTGAGCGAAAAAGGTTACTGTCTAAAGTATACAGAGCGGTAAAGGAGGTAGAGCAGCGGCTGTTGCAGCT